CCACTGCCTGCGCATCCACCCATGCAACTCCCGCCCCCCCTGCGCCCCTGCCTGCCCGCCCCCTTCTCCCCACAGCTACCTGGGCCTTCTCAACACCACCTGGGACCGGCGTGAGGGCCTGGTGGCGGCCAGCGGCGGGCCGGTGCTGCTGGGCGGCGAGAACTCGACCAACCCGGTGGAGGGTGAGGTGCCGCCACGGAGGGAGGGCCCTGCCTGGGGTTGATCAGCCTGTGTGTTCCTGAGCTGTGTGTATGCAGGGTGTGTGAGTGTGTGTGTGTGGATGCTCACCCTCCCCGCTAGAACCCCTCTCTGCCCGCCCCGTTGAGCCCGCAGACGACCCTGCGGTGGCGGCGCGCCTGGCGGAGCTGTATGGACCGCTGGAGGCGTACTCGGAGCAGGAGATCGGCAGCAGCGCGGTGCAGCTGGATGGGGAGCGGCAGACTGTGCGGAATGAGGAGACCAACTTGGGAGGTGAGCCGTCAGGCAGCGCTGCTCCATGCTGCGCCTGCCGGCACTCGCGCCGCGCCGCCGGCCGCCTGCACTCCCACCAATGCTGGTTACTAATTGCCGACGCAACGCCTGCGCCTCGCTCCCCGTGCCGCCGCCTGGTGCTGTTCCCTGGCGCAGATCTGACCTGTGCCGCTGTGTACGAATATGCGGTCCAGCACACAGCCATCATCGAGGACAACCCGCAGCTGGCGCCGGTGTGCCTGATCAACGGCGGCGTCATCCGTGCCAGTATCCCGCCCGGTACTGCCAACAACGGAACCCCACCCTTACTGTTTACCTTTGCGTAGCCGGCTCGTGCCCTGCACTACCAAGAGGTCTGCCGGGATATCTCATGCCCTCTCGCCTGTTGGCGTTGTATTTTCGTTCTGTGCCTGCAGGCACCGTCACCCAGGGCGATGCCCTTTCCGTCTTCCCCAACGGCAACTGGTTTGTGGCCAAGCTGGTCAACGCCTCCACCATGGTTGCCGCGCTCAACTCTGGGCTGAGCGGCTGGACGGGGGACGCCACGGCGCCGGGGCGCTTCCCGCAGGTGCGCTTGTGCTGCCCTTGGCCTGCTGGGGCGCGCCGCCTGCCTGCGCGGCGCCTGGCAGGCAGCCCGCAAGCAGCGGCAGGCCGCGGGCGGCCGGCTGCCGTCGCCGGGGAGTCCCGCGTCGCCTGCCCGCCTGCCTCCCGTTGCCCCCTTGCCCTACCCTCGCCCCGCACACCCTGCGTGCCCTGGCCCCTCGCACACCCCACCCATCATCCACCTGCCTGTCCCCCTCTGCAGGTGGGAGGCCTGCGGTACGCATTCGACCCTTCCCTCCCTGCCGACGCGCGGCTGGTTGGCGCCGAGGTGCTCGCAGACTTCAGTGACGGCGGCGCCAGCGGGGCCACCCCGCTTTCTTCCTACGCCGGCGACCTGCTGCTGCTGTCTACCGACTATATAACCGGCGGGGGGGACTTCTAGTGAGCTGTGCTCTGCTGGCTGGCTGGCTGGCTGGCTGGCTGGCTGGCTGGCTGGATGTTTGTGCCAGCGGGGTGCCTGCCTGGCGGCCCCTGATGCCGCCTGCTAAGCCGCGCCTGCCCTGCCACCAATCCCCGACCCGCCAAACCCGCCACTCCCCCACCCCCCTGCTTGTTTGCTGCAGCGACATGTTTACGCCCCTCCCCATCTTCTTCGACTCCAGCACCCCGCTGGCCGAGCTGCTGGCTGATTACATGCAGCAGCACTCGCCCGTCAACACCACCGCAGACGGGCGCATCATCAACTGCCAGCTGGGCGCCAGCGACCCGCTGTGCGCCGGCGACGGCAGCAGCGGCGGCGGCACGCCAGCCAGCGGCCCCTCTGCGGCGCCGGCGCCGGCGCCGGCGTCTGCCGCGGCACCGGGGCGTGTGCTGCAGCTGGGCGCGGCGGCGCTGGCGCTGCTCGTGGCAGCTGCGGCGCTGGCGTGATCGAGGCAGCTCAGCTTGACGCAGCCACTTGTGAATGATCTCTGCTATGTGCTGGAACATGATTCTGTTAGTTGTGTGCATTCAGCACTTGCCTTCCATCACTCATTCAATCGGTTACGGTCAACAGTAACCAACCCAGGTATCAGCCAGTAGTCATTCGGGGCCCTCTGCTGGCTGCATCAGCTGCTCCTCCTCAGGCACATCCTCGGCCTCCCCCGCTGAGCTCTCTGGCTCTGCTGCCGCTGTTGCCTCTCCTCCTCCTGCTGCCCCCTCCTCTTCCTGCTGCTGCCGCTGCCGCTGCTGCCCCTGCCCTGGCGGTTCCTCAGGGATGGCCGGGCTGGGCTTGAAGAGAGGCGGTCCCTTCCCGGAAGCAGAGGCGCGCGACAGGCGGCGCGGGGAGGCCGGCATTGCACCTGCCGCATCTGCCGACGTCACGCCGGCCTCCGGAAGCTGCTCCTCCTCTGGTACCCACTCGCTGGTAGCAGACACCTCTGTGGATGCCTCGGACGGCCTGGTAAGCGCCTGCCCTGCAGCTGTTGGGCTGCGGCCTTCTCCCCCGCCGTGCCTTTGGGCTGCGGGCCCGCCAGCACTGGGCCAGTGCCGGGGGCTGCCTGGGGGCGAGGCCGCCGGCGTGCCGGGCGCCGAGGTGGCGGCTTCAGAGGACTCCGACTGCCGCCGCCTCTCCAGCTTGGCGATCACCTGCTCAAGGGAAGCAGTGCCAGGACATGGGGGGGTGCAGTAGCGGCGGCTCAATCATTTGTCATCAGAACTATTGGGGCAATTCTCCCGCCCCACCTTTGCCCTCAGCGCTCGGATCTCTTGCTCAATCCTGCGGATGCGCTTGGGCACGGGGTGGCCGTGCTCTTGCGTGCGGCGCTGCAGGTCTTCTAGGTACTGCAGGTGGGGCAGGTGGGGCAGGGAAGAAAGCTTAGGTACTGCAGATGGCAGAGATGGGGGAAGAAGCAGCTATTTTTTGCAGGAAGAGCTGCTCCAAATTGGGGGAACCCGGCACGCCGGGTACGTTGGCAGCACTTTGAAGCCAGCGGCGGCAGCCCTGCAAGTGCAGCAGTGTACGGTCCCCGCAGCCCGGCCCGCCTGCAAGTAGCTGTCGCAGAGCGGCGGCAGGAAGGAGGGGCTGTGCTTGAGCATCTTGGCGAGGTAGGCGCCCCGGAACTCCCACAGCGTGCAGTTGGTGACAGCGCATACTGCGGGGGGCAGGGGCAGGCAGCAGGGGAGCAGGGCCCCAGGGCAAGGCGAGGGTGCTCATCAGGGTCTTTGGCGCAGCCACAGTCTGAACAGGCTGGAAGTCTCGTGCTGCCTCCCTGAAATACCTCCTCCCCGTCTCCTCCACACTTCTGCTCCAGCTGTGTGCAGCTGTCCCTCTGCTCGCTCACCTGTGTGCAGGCGCCAGCTGCACTCCTCAACATAGTGGCTGAACACCGCCGCCTGCCCCGCAAGCGCGGGACCGTGCAGGCGCCTGATGCGGTGCGGACCGCGGATCGCCAGCGCCTCGCCTGCACGCCGCAGCATGGGCTGATGCGTTGTGAGCTGCTGCAGCGGTGCCGCTGGCGGCGTGCGAAGGCGTGCCCTCCCTACTGCAATTCATGACCAGCGCAGCTGGCGGGGGAAAGCACACAGCTTGTGGCGGGTGGCCGCCCACCTTCTTGCAGGACGTAGAAAGAGTCTGCAGGGTCCCCCTCCTCAAACAGGTTGTGCCCCGCCACGAGCCGCACCGGCTGCGCCACGCAGGCCAGCTGGGCCCGCATCTGCGACGCACGAGGAGCGGTAGGGGGAACGGCGGCGGTACGTGTAGGTGTGTGGCTGCTGCTGCTGCTGCGGCAGGGGGTACCGCACCGCCCCTCTATCATGGTGGTCAAGGGATGCCTGCAGCACCCCTTGGAGCATGCCCAGTGCCCAGCTGCAGATCAGGTGCCTCCAGCTGCCAGCCTGAGTTCCACACGCACAAGCACACACATGCCCCCCCCCCCCCACCCACCCCCACCCCCCACCCCCACACACGCACACGCACATGGTTATCCAGCAGCCTGAACATGCTTGCTTGTGTGGGCTTAAAGTCTGGTAAAGCAAGAACTAGCTTGCAACATAGACTCCCCGCCGAAACGGGACGGGAACCGGGCGAAAGCAGAGAAAGCAATAAAACAGGGGTGGAGCAAGGCGACATGCAACGCAAGCAGCTGACAGGGCACGCATCGAAACGTGTGTATGACTGGCAAAGTGGCATGGCGCATTGGGGAGAAACGCAACGGTACGGGAGCATGGGCTGGCCAAACGGCAGTGCGGAACGCTAGGTCACTAGAAAAGCAGGGAAAGGCGCACTATGTATGCAATGAGGGCAGCCCCGGCTCGGGGCCGTTGAGAAAGCAGTGGGCGGGAGGGGGGAGGCCCCGGTGTGGGCGGGCCCCATCGAGGGGGGATGGGGCGCGCAAGCGGCCAGATGGGGCGGGGCGCGGGCGGCAGTGGAGTCCTGCGGCTGGGTGGGATATAGGGCAATGAGCGTTGAGCAGTGTGCGATGAGCAATGAGGTAC